GTGATCCTGTTAAAGCACAAGGGTGGCCACATTATTTCTTTGTGCAAAACCCTCCACAACCTCCTCGCCTCACTCTGACTAAAGGCCCTGGTCTTACGAGGGCCTCCAGGGTCCTACACAACCTGCCCCACCCTGACCAGTTGCCCCCGAGACCGGGCCAGCTTCCACAGCGGTGTTCACTCTCCTCTAGTCCACCAGGGCCACTCCTGCCACAGGGCCTTTGAGTCTGCCATTCCCTCTGCCTGCAGCGCTCTTCTCCCAGATATGCCTATGGCTCTCTTATCCCTCCTTCAGGTCTCTACTCAAACATACCCTTCTCAGTGAGGTCTTCTCTAGCCATCCTATTGAAATTGCCAACCATCCCACACCACAACATTTTCCCTTTTCCTGCGTTATTTCACTCTAGACCATTATCACCTCTCATACAAAAGACACATATTTTATGAATCTATCTCTTTATTGTCTGCTTCCCCTACTAGAATGTAAGTTGCGAGAAACAGTCCCTGCTGTATCCCAGCACCTAGCACAGTGCCTGGCATATATGAAGCACTCGAATAAGTGCAGAAAGAATGGGAATCGTGGACTGGGAAGAATGGAAATGGGAAGTGACTAGGAGACAAGAAAGGGAAACCCAGTACATTCAACACTTTCATGATCCCTGGTGAGGAGCTTAGGAAGAAACCAGTATTGGGAGATTTTCATCAAATGGGAATGACTCGGACATATTTAGAGAATGTAAAGAGAATAGAGCCACATGAAAAGACTGAGGACATGAGAAAAGGGCATCTGCTATGCCAAGTATGGAAGAAGGGGGAGATGACTGGCCCCCTGAGCAAGGGGAGAAGGGACACCTCCACAGAAGGGACTAGGACAGGAAGGGAGCGTGAGAGAAGAGCTGTAGAATCAGGGACAGGTGGGGCTGCAGGGAAACTGAGTAAGATCATACCTGGGTCTTAGCTTTCTGTCTCAGGGTCTGGGGAAGAGCCTGAGCGCTGAGGGTTTGAGGAGGCACCTTGGGAAATGAGAATGCAAGCTGACATGGGGAGCAGGCTTGCTCAGCCGTGCTGAAAGCTCCGGTCACTCTAGAAACCATCAGTCAGTTGCAGAGTTTGGGAGTTCCCCCAGCTGTCCTGGGCAGCCAACAAGACCCAAAGTGGCAAGTCTTAGGATTATTACAAGAATTATTCAATGAAAGCCCTTATTAAACACTTCAGACCTAAGCAAAATGTAAAATGCCGAGGAATAATAAATAAATGGGCAAATGATAGGAATAACCATTGCTGTAGAACTAATTTAGGGCGCCTTCAGCTGGCAAACACCCTTCAAGATGGTGTTCCTGCAAAGAGCAAGTCTGGAGGACGGGTCTGGAGGAAAAAAGATAAAAAGTAGCCCTTTGGTAAGTGGACTCTGAAAGGCCAGTCTAAGAACCCACACAGGAGGGCATGTATGGCGTCAATGGGCTCTGGAAACCCCAAAGAAAAGATCCACAGAGAAAAACAAAAGCCTCTTAGTTACAACTCACTAGAAGGGGCCCATATATTTTTAAATGCTGAAACGTGACATTTTGGAAACAGGAGGATCTGACTTGCAAGAAAAGATTCCTAATTTTCAAAGAGACCAAAACAGTGCTTTACCTGGGCTCCATACAGTCATGGGCTACTAGACTATTTGCAGAACCTGTAGAATCGTCTGCAGTCCATAACGAAAAGACTGTTTCAACATATAAAGACTACATGAAACTGAGCTGTCAGTTTTAACAGCTACTGTTATTTGTGCCATGCTGTGCACAGTACACACTTTATCTCATGTAACATCACCACTTCCATGTAAGGAAGAAATCTTTATTCTCATTTGATAGAGGAAGAAACAGAGGCTTTGAGGGATTAAGGAACTTGACCTAAATCATTGTAATAAATAAAGAGCTAGACCAGAAATGAAACCCAAAAGTGTCTAGTCCCAAAAAGTATGCTTTCAACCTCTGTTACCTCTTGCCTCTCTAGTGCTATATTTTTCTTAAGAAAACACTGGGTCGATCATTGGTTTTAATGTACTCTTAGGACACTTACAGTCATTCTATGATGTAGCTAGTAAGTATTCTTAGGAAGACATATTTTTATATGGAACTATTGACCTAAATATCTAACTAACATATATTAACATGTCCTTCCAGTCTTTGTGTCCTACAGTGGGATCCAACGGATGACTGACAGACCCTGGGTCAGGAGATTTCTATGCCAAAGCATTGAAATAATCTGTGGATAGACTGACATCAGGGATCTTGAGGAATCAGGAAGAATGAGAGGTTCTAGAACGCTAGAGGTGAAGTGGAAGAAGGGAGTTTCGGCAAAGCACGGAGCTGTGAGATGATGCATGATCCTGCACAAGACCTAACCTTATGATCACCGAAGTGACAGTTAGTGGGCCCCTGGCAAGGTAAAGAACTGGTCACCAAGACCCAGCACACGCTCACCAAGAGCAGGTCACTGCAGATGAGCCCCACTGCCATCTCTGACTGGGCTGGTGATGGCAGGCAGCACCAAGCAGCTGGGGCTGGGGGGAGGCTGGCCCCTTAAGGAGAGGCACATGCTCTTCAACTTACCCATTTATACCCCCTGGATTAGCTAATAGACTGAATGACAGAATCAGGACTTAACTGTTTAGTATAACAAGGATTAAAAAAAGATCTTGCACTTGATTTCAAAAACCCAATTGAATAAATCAAAGATAGGAAAGGGAATGATTTAGGAGAAACAAACATAAAAATATCTTTCAGCTGATAACAAGCTCCATGAGAGATAACAGTATGATGTAGCTGACAAAATAAGGAAGAGCAGCCTGGGCTGCATTCGTAGACACGGTGTCGAGGCTAGAACAAAGGAGGTGACGCTGTGTTCCACACCAGCTGGCTGCACTGAACTACTACTGCACTCTGTTGACTCTGGGCAGCTCGCTCTGAGAGGGTCTGCTAGTGATTCTCCACTGTCCCCCACTACGATCTATTCTCTGCACTGCTCTGTGCCCTAAGGGAGCTGACCCCTACATTCACCCTGAATCCTTTCCCCTGATGACTTCCCACTAGGTCCAGTCAATTGGAAGTACCAGTGAGAAATTCAGGGCAAGGAAAAAAAGAAAATGCAGGTCTCCCTTGGGCCACATCTCCCCGCTCCATCCATCTCCACATTTCTGACAGTGGCTCTGTCCCTCTGTAGCTGCAGTTCCCATCAGGCCGCCCCCTTCCAGAGCTCCAGCCCTCAGTGGATTCTGGTTTGCTCCCACTGTCCCTTCCGGTCTAGGAGTGGTCGCAGCTTCCCTCTGCTTGCTGCGAGCCCCTAGTAGGTTCCGCATCATCCCTTTGAGTTCACCTAACCCTGCCTACACCTCTGTAAATAGTCCCTTCCCTACATTATTTTCAAAATCCCAACTAAGGTGACCTTCTGTTTCCTGAGGGACCTTGAGTGAAACCGAAGAGATATAGGATGGCAGCAAAGCCATAAAATATTGTCTACGAGGACCACCTACAGGAACAGAAAATGTGTGGCCTGGTGAGGGGAAGACTGCGGGACACAGCCAAGCCCACCTAAAACAAGTGAAGGGCCACCGTTAGACTCATTCTCCCGGCTCCATGAATAGGACAGCAGCACAATCGATACAGAGAGACCAAGGCTTTACTTTTACAGTGAAGTAAACTTTTCTAAAGAGTCGGCAAGGATGGGGTGAGCTCTCCCGATAGGTCGTGAGCTCCAGGAATTCTGACTTACCCAGTCTTAAACTGGAGAGCCCATTTCTGGAATACCACAGGTAAACAAGGGGTAGTTTAGAAAAAGACTTTCCAAGTCAGGATTTCATGATTTGCTACCAACTGCACATGACTCAGTGGTTTACCAAAATAACCAAACTGGGAAAAATATTTTGGGGGATGTGTTTTACTGCTTCTCTCTTCAAGATAAAAGAATGGAAGTCTAGCCCTTCAGGTCAAGCTGGGTTGTTCTCAACAATGAACTTTTTTATGCTGTCAGGTAACTCAGGAACATGAAACTTATTTTGTGTCTTAGTATCATAACACCATTTCCACAAATGTGAGCATTCTATCAAAAACACTTAATGAAGCAACTTCTGTCTACACATCTACCACTAGCTTCTTCAGAGCTGTCAGCTCAGTTTCAAACGAAAAACCAGGATGCAAAATCTGCCAGTGAGAGAAAACATTTTATAGGCAAACCGTCCTGGAAAAAAAATAAGCCCTTCAATCCACCCGGGGTGGGAAAAAGGAAATGGTTTTTGCAAGAGCTCTCAAGTCCTGAGTTCGCAGAAGGGTCACGGCCATGATGCTAAGTGTGTGCAGCTCATTCCAGAGTTCTCCTGGGGTTCGAGTTCATCGTTATTACACGATAATAGGAAAGCCAGCTGTTCACTCATTCATTCAACAAACATTTGATGTTGATCTACTCATTATCAGAGCACCATTGGGTCCTGGGGGTAGGCAAGATCCAAAGAAGCCGTCACTGCAACTAGACTTCAGCAGGTCTAGAAAACGACCTGCTTTCCAAGACCAAGTAAAGCCAAAGAGTGAAAGTGACGGTGCCCAGAAAAGTTTCAGCAGAAACTTGGAAAATGCCAGCTTTCTGGTGCGTAGAGGGCGGGGACTTGGGGCCTACAGGAGGACGCCGCCTCCCCACTGGGGCCGGCGCGTCCGCAGTCCTGGGCCCTCTGGCCACGCGGCCCCGGCCCCCTGCCCAGAGCGGGCGTTGCTTGGGCCCGGGCCCGGGCGGCTCCACCCCGGCGCCGCCAAGGCCTGGAGTGCAGCTCCAGCGCGACCACCAGCAGGGCGATGGCCAGGACCCGCGGGGCGCGCCTGCCCCCACCACGACGTTCCGGGGAAGCGCGCGCACGCGTCGCCGCGCCCCTCTCTTCGCCCGGCTTCCGCGGCGCGCTCCCGGCCGGCCAGAGCCCAGTGCCCACTACCCCGGCCCCTGCCGCCCGTGCGGCCTGGCCACACTCACCCTCTTTGGCTTTCTTTCTCCGGGCCAGAGTCCCGCCGAGTTTCCCCAAGAAGGAGTCATCTTTCTTCCGGGACGGGGGCGACTTGGGAGTAGGGGATTTGGGGACAGAGGGAGACTTTTGCGGGGAGGTGGCCATGGTGGTGGAGCGGACAGCCGCCGACCGGTCTGGGACGCGGAGTTGGTGCTGGGCGGGCGCGTCGGGACTGAGGCTGCGGCTTCCCAAACGGAAGCGGAATTATTCCAAGCATTTAAGGCAGCTCACGCTCTCCTTTCCCTTCCCTCTATCCCTCCCTCGCGCCGCCCTCCGCCCTGCGGGGAGCTGTCTGCTCGGGCCCTTGCCCTGGCCAGGCTAGGCCTGCTCCCTGCGCCCCTTGGCTGCCCTAGAAGAGAGGATGCCCCAAATCTGCCCCTTGCAGGGCGTGCAGCCTTATCTGCTTATATGTGTGAGTGACCCTCCAGCCTTGCAGTGTTACAGCCTGAATGCCTCATTTCCCCTGACTCTGCACCCAGCACAGATCTTTGCACAAATCCTGGGTTCAGTGATTGCTGAACCGAACCCACGTGTTACTATGTTTCCCATTGTCTCGCCTCAACTGCTTGACGAGCCACTTGCTTTTCCACAGCTTATCTACCTGCACAGTTAATAGGCCCGTGTCTTGTGTCCAGAAAGGAGTGTGGAAAGAAAGAGTGAACCAAAATGTGTTCAGGCCCCACCAACTGGGGACGTCCGACTGTTCCTTCACTTATTCATAGCTATGCCATAGCTGGACACTCCAACCCTCATATTTGAAGCTGAGCAATTTGAAGCTCATGAGCACAGGGCAGCAACATTCCTGTTCCTAGCAGTTCGATGGCTTGTGCAAAGGAGGATCTCAAATGTTGCTATAAACTTGAGTGGGAAAGTGTGACCATGGGACCCTCTGAGACAACGTGCCCCCCTCCCACTCCCCAAACTTATGTCACCTAAGCCACAGAATGACATCCAGACTCATTTCGGATAACAAGTGTGTCCTTGATATTCTGTTTCAAAGACTCATTCTGGAAATGATTAAAAGGCCCGTTTTGTTTTGCTTGACCACTTCCTTGGGCTCTTCTGTCTGTGTCTCTCACACACACTCACACAGTCCCTTAGCAAGTGTGTTTCCTCCAAGTAGTTGATTGACCTGACCCAAAGAACTGCTAATGCTTGACTGGAGAGCAGCCAGTAAGATCGTCTCCATCAAGAATCTGAACTAAGCTAGAGCGACTTGCCAAGAAGTTGAGAAGTTAGCGATGATCATGCAGACTTCACACTGGGTATCCATTTTTAGCCACATGCATGTTGATGAGTACAGAACCAAAAGAATGGAGCAAAGTGGTGGTCTTAAGAAACCACGTGGTCTGAATAATGAAAAGCTGTGGGGAGTAGCTGCCTGGGCCTTGAGTCTCTTCCCAGTGCCTACTTGCCCACCAAGGGCCAGCTGTGTGTCCTTACAAGCACATGTTCCTAAAGCTTTGTCCTAACAATCCACCTTAACTGGAGCTAATAGCACTATTGGGTCGGCCAGAAAGTTCATTTAGTATTTTCCGTAAAATAAAAGACACATTTTTCATTTTTACCAATAGCTTTATTGCTTTAGACACTTTGAATATGTTGGCTATCTCCCACTGTTGGCTTCTAGTGGGCAGAGGCCAGGGTTGCTGCTGAACATCTTCCAATGCATGAGACAGCTCCACAGCAAAGAATTATTTGGCCATGATGTCAATAGTACCGAGAAACTTCGCAAACCACTTTTGACGTGTTTGATCAGTTGCAGCACCTTCTCCATACACTGCACAAATCTTTTTTTGCGTTTCAGTTGTGTTTTTACCTTTCTTGAAATAATAAAGCATAATATGCCAAAAGTGTTGCTTATTTTGTTCCATCTTCAGTATTAAAATGGCTACACAAGAATTCACCGATTTTGGTAAGTTTTTTAAAAAAATGCACGCTAGTACGACAGCTGTCACAATACAATCTAACAAAATTTTTTCAAATGAAGTTAAAGACAACTAAGCGCTACTAGAGCCATTGTACAAAAAAAAAAACTGAACAAACTTTTTGGCCAACCCTATAACAAGCAGTAATTTCTGAACCAAAGTGTAATGAACAAAATGGTCAATAGATTCAGAAGAGTATATGTTCATTTTATCTTTGCTGAAAAGTCCTAATTTTACCTCTTTTGAGGTAAAATTATACATTAGCTGGTGCCTCTTACCTAATAGAAAGCAGAGAGCCATGACAGCTGCGAGAGCTTTCCCCCAGGGGAGGGAAAATTATGACACCCCCATCCTACCACCCATCTGATAAACCTTAAGTGGTGTTGTGACGCCAAAAATAGAATTATTTTGATTACATCATCGATCATATTCGTTCAGGATATTGGATGCATAAGGACATCCCCCAAACTTGATCTCTAGCCCTGGGAACTTTGTCAAGGAATCACGAGAGACACAGCTCAATAGCTCGGTGACCTTGGGCGTGTTTACTCCTATTTCTGAGTGTCTGCTTCTTCGTCTATTGCGTTGGGTTCGTTTGGTGTTTTTCCATATGATACATATGATGGCTCTAGTAGCGCTTGGTTACCTTTTATTTCATTTGAAACAGTTTTGTTAGATTGTGACAGCTGTCATATCAGCATGCATTTTGAAAAAAACTATAGAAATTGACGAGTTTTTGTGTAGCTATTTTAATATCAAAGATGGAAGAAGATATGCAACATTTTCAGCATGGCATGCCTTATTATTTACCAAGAAAGTTTATACCAAGAAAGGTATAAACACAACTGAAATGCAAAAGAAGATTTGTACAGCGTATGGAGGAGGTGCTGTGATGGATTGAGTGTATCAGAAGTGGTTTGTGAAGTTTTGTGCTGGAGATTTCTTGCTGGATGATGCTCCATAGTTAGATAGACTGGTTGAAGTTGATAGCAAATCAATTGAGATGTTAATTGAGAACAATCAAAGTTATATCTCAAGGAAGATAGTCAACATGCTCAGAATATCCAAATCAATAAAGGTATTGGTGAAAATGAAAAAAATGTGTCTTTTATTTTACAGAAAAAACTAAAGGGACTTTTTTGGCCAACCCAATAACAAAATGAAGTGGTGGGAGAGAGTGGTGGCTCTCAGACCCGACTGCACATCACAATTCCTTAAGAAGTTACTGTACTTTTTGAACTATAATACTCACTCCCTATAAAATTTGGGAGAAAATGGAGGCGTGTCTTATAGTCCAAATGTAACCCGTCTGGCTCGCTGTTGGGGGGAGAGCTATGTTATTTATGTTATTAAATATTTTACCACATTTTTTTTGCTTCAAAATTCTTTCCTATTTTCCTCCTCCAAAACCTAGGAGCATCTTAGGATCTGGTGCATCTTGTAGTCCTAAAAATTTTGTAGTTATAACCATTCATAGGCCCCGATCTCTAGAAGGTCTGATTCAGCACATTTGAGGTAAAACCCAGAGATAGGTATTTTTTTAACAAGCATTACATCAGGTGGTTTTGATCCATGCACTGATGTCTGGGCACCTAAAACCACTTTCAGCTTTAGCAGTCAGTGGTTCTCTATTCTTCACCAATTGCTGATATCTGCGTGCAGGGCTTAGGTCCTAAATATGGCCTGGTCAAAATTATACATGGAGATCTCTCAAATTGCTCCTGCACGCTTTCGCATACATAGCCCTCTTCAGTAATTTTTACACATACTAAAGTTTGGAAGCAACTGGGCAAGACTAAAAGGTGGAACAAATAAAGGCAAGCCCTTACTGTTGGATGCTGGCTCCAGAAAATACCGGCAAAATAAGCTGTGGAGAAGGCAAAACTGGGTTCATCGTACACCGTGGTAGGCAGAGCCCTGACTTCACAGTCTTAGTAGCATCTTGGGCTGAGGATGGGCAATGGCAAAGGAGGGGTATTTGTCAGGTTTCAGAATCTGGATGAAGGCAGATCTTTCATAAGTTGGTGCTTAGTTAATTTTGGCTAAAGATTGATAAAATGGTTTCGGAATCGTGAACAGGAGCCAAGGCTTTCAAAGAATTTTAGAGATTAAATTGTCTTTTTAATGCTCTCTATTCACAACCATTATGGAAAACAGTATGGAATTTTCTCAGAAAAATAAAAATTGACCTGCCTTTTGACCCAGCAATTCCACTGCTAGGATTATACCCCAAGAATCCTAAAACATCAATTTCAAAGAACCTATGCACCACAATGTTCATAGCAGCACAATTTACAATAGCCAAGAGTTGGAAGCAACCTAGGTGCCCATCAGTAAATGAATGGATCAAAAAATTGTGGTACATATACACCATGGAATTCTATGCAGCAGAGAGAAAGAAGGAGCTACTACCTTTTGCAACAACATGGATGGAACTGGAAAGCATTATGCTGAGTGAAATAGGCCAGGCATTGAAGGACAAATACCATATGATCTCACCTTTGACAGGAAGCTAAAGAATAAAACAAACAAGCAAACAGAATAAAAACAAAGACGCTGAAATAGAGAACAAGTGGGCAGCGACCAGAGGGGGAGAGGGAAGGGAACTTAAGGGGAAAAAGGGGGAGGGATTTTGAGGAACAAGTATGAAAGACACAGAGATGAGGACTGAGGGGGGGAATGGGGGGTGGGGTGGGATGGGAGAAATAGATTAAAAAAAATGTACTTGAAAAGTAACTAAATAAAATTTAATATTTAAAAAAAAAGTTGAAGAGTTTTATGTTTGTTTCAGTGAGGTTTGAAGGGAAGTTTCTGAAAAGAACAATAAAGTTATTGGTGCCCTGACTGGTGTGGCTCAGTGGGTTGGGCGTTGTCCTGCAAACCAAAAAGTCACTGGTTTTTTTTCCCCATCAGGGCACAAGCCTGGGTTGCAGGCCAGGTCCCAGGAAGGGGGCATGTGGGAGGCAACCAATTGATGTTTCTCTAGCACATCCGTATTTCTCTCCCTCTCTTTTCCTGTCCCTTCCTCTCTCTCTGAAAACACATAAAATCTTTAAAATATATATGAAGTTATTTTTAACTTTTATCATTTATCTACTCTGTGGAAAAGTAAAAGTCATGTTGATAAAGACGGGGGAAGGTAAAGTCCTATTACTGTAGACAGTGAATTGTTTCCAGGGTCTCAATATTATGCAGATGTCTTGTTACTCAAATCTCTCTGCCTACAAGATCACTATTATTCTGTCTTGAAAGGCCAAGGGGAAATGGGTGGTACAGTATAAATC